AGGAGCGACATTGCTGCCTCATCAGCCTGGACCGAGAGGCTCTCATCCAATAAATGATCGTCAGGAGCGACATTTAACTTCTCAAGTTCTAGAGTAGCTGAATATTGTAAGCCGCCTTGATAGGAGACCCGATGCCTGACATGGACGAAACCTATAAAACGGCTTGCCCAATTCCCTGGGAACGATGCCAGGGTTCTCCTACCGCCATAACCCCTACAGCGGGATGGTTAGACTGAATGCATAAAAAGAGACCCCTTACCCTCAACATGTTTCATACTTTGTCAAAAGTTACTTCCTTATCTTTTCGCTGTTCCCATAGCAGGATCAGTGATTATTTTTTTCCTACTTTTTTTCTTTAGCTTTCTTCTGCGCTGCTATTAGTGGAACTCGGTAAGACAGTGATTAGAACTTTGGAAACGCGTTCTGCCTTTTATTGATGGGATTGAATTTTGACCTCGTTTCCTGCAGGATTTCCCAGCAAACCATGCATTGTCAGGAATTCCCCATGGAAAATGCGCAGATTGGAAGATTGTCAGCTCAGCTGTTTTTTATTTTAATTTTCCAAATCCCTGGGGAATTCCAAGGAGTTCCCAGTTTAGAGAATAGTCCTGTTTGGATTGCAGGGTATTCAATAAACCACACAGAATATACCTGGAACATAAAGCACAACTGTTGTTATATTGTTTGGAATAAATGGAAATAGTTCAAGAGTTTAAAATATGCTACTAGTAGTTTATTCCTTCCTAACTGAAATAATTGTCAGGGCCTTGTCGAATAAAATCTAACCCATACAAAATAAACATCAGCCAATCATTGCGTACCTCCCAACATTTCAAATGGACGTAGAGGGACCCTTAAATTTTAGGGGTGTGAACAGGGGCAGGGCTCTTCTGAGAAATCTTTGGTGACTTACTAAAAAAATAAAATGTAATTTATAGCAAGAACAATGTATCTTGTTTACACAGACTGATTTCTAAACACATTTATTGTAGTTTCAATACACATTACTGGGAGTATTATTGCTGTGGAGCTCTGTTATACACTCAGACACATTACTGGGAGTATTATTGCTATGGAGGCTCTGTTATACACTCAGACACATTACTGGGAGTATTATTGCTGTGGAGCTCTGTTATGCACTCAGACACATTACTGGGAGTATTATTGCTGTGGAGCTCTGTTATACACTCAGACACATTACTGGGAGTATTATTGCTGTGGGCTCTGTTATACACTCAGACACATTACTGGGAGTATTATTGCTGTGGGGCTCTGTTATACACTCAGACACATTACTGGGAGTATTATTGCTGTGGAGCTCTGTGATACACTCAGACACATTACTGGGAGTATTATTGCTGTGGAGCTCTGTGATACACTCAGACACATTACTGGGAGTATTATTGCTGTGGAGCTCTGTTATACCCTCAGACACATTACTGGGAGTATTATTGCTGTGGAGCTCTGTTATACACTCAGACACATTACTGGGAGTATTATTGCTGTGGAGCTCTGTTATACACTCAGACACATTACTGGGAGTATTATTGCTGTGGAGCTCTGTTATACACTCAGACACATTACTGGGATTATTGCTATTCAGATACATTACTGGGAGTATTATTGCTGTGGAGCTCTGTTATACACTCAGACACATTACTGGGAGTATTATTGCTGTGGGGCTCTGTTATACACTCAGACACATTACTGGGAGTATTATTGCTGTGGAGCTCTGTTATACACTCAGACACATTACTGGGAGTATTATTGCTGTGGAGCTCTGTTATACACTCAGACACATTACTGGGAGTATTATTGCTGTGGAGCTCTGTTATACACTCAGACACATTACTGGGAGTATTATTGCTGTGGAGCTCTGTTATACACTCAGACACATTACTGGGAGTATTATTGCTGTGGAGCTCTGTTATACAGTCAGAAACATCTGGGAGTATTATTGCTGTGAGCTCTGTTATACACTCAGACACATTACTGGGAGTATTATTGCTGTGGAGCTCTGTTATACGCTCAGACACATTACTGGGAGTATTATTGCTGTGGAGCTCTGTTATACACATTACAGGGAGTATTATTGCTGTGGAGCTCTGTTATATGCTCAGACACATTACTGGGAGTATTATTGCTGTGGAGCTCTGTTATACACTCAGACACATTACTGGGAGTATTATTACTGTGGGGCTCTGTTATACACTCAGACACATTACTGGGAGTATTATTGCTGTGGAGCTCTGTTATACACTCAGACACATTACTGGAAGTATTATTGCTGTGGAGCTCTGTTATACACTCAGACACATTACTGGGAGTATTATTGCTGTGGAGCTCTGTTATACACTCAGACACATTACTGGGAGTATGATTGCTGTGGAGCTCTGTTATACACTCAGACACATTACTGGGAGTATTATTGCTGTGGAGCTCTGTTATACACTCAGACACATTACTGGGAGTATTATTGCTGTGGGGCTCTGTCATACACTCAGGCACATTACTGGGAGTATTATTGCTGTGGAGCTCTGTCATACAATCAGACACATTACTGGGAGTATTATTGCTGTGGAGCTCTGTTATACACTCAGACACATTACTGGGAGTATTATTGATGTGGAGCTCTGTTATACACTCAGACACACTACTGGGAGTATTATTTCTGTGGAGCTTTGTTATTCACTCAGACACACCAACAATATGGAACTCCTAGAAAAGAGGGAGATTAGGAGGGAAAATAGGGACAGAGGGATTTGGGCCAAAATAGGGACTGTCCTTCCTAACTACAAACTCCTAGATCACAGTCCATTCTTTAATAAATCAGTCTGTGAAATTAGTGTCTAAGAATGTATTTATTCTTATGGGACATTAATCACTCACATAGTTTTAGACATGAAAACCTGTATTGTGATGTCACTCCCCCCCTCCACCCCCCCATATGGATAAGATATGTATGCGTGTTGGAGTTGTGAAATATAGAAAGTCCCCACTTAATTGAGGCAGGATTCAGTGTCACTCATCAGAACTGTAAAAAGACAGCAGAGTGTAAGGGGTTTATTAAAAACTAGCAGAGAACTGCCACCTCCACTATTAGAATTAGCCGTTAAATGAGATAAATAATTAGGAATTTTGGGCTGGAGGGCAGTGCAGCTCCCCTGCTGGTACAGTTAAATAACCCTTGTGTAAATAAGTGTTTGTTAAGTAAAGTAGTCATTGATGACTGGAGGGCGGACAGTACATCATACACAGCGTAAATAAATAAACACTTACCTGCCCTTTGCTCGAATACATTGTAATAATCTGGGGTATCCGAAACGGGGACTCGCAAATTAACCACTCATGATGCATTACCAGTAGTAATATTATAGACTGTTTTATTCCTTTCAGATTGTGCATTCAAACCTTGCACTGCCTTAAGGTTAAAGGAACCCTACCTCTAACTAAATGTGATGTAATATAAAACATATATAATGGAGATACGTGTGTTATAGAAAACAAGTGCTACAGAGAAGTGGTGGTCCTGTTGATCTCGTGGTTTATGAAAATAACTTCAGAAGTTCCTAATGGCATTATTTTCCTATGATTTACACAGTTTATCGTTATGTCTAATTTCTCCTATATTATATAGACTTGCGTGCTGCAGAATGGGCGAATCATTTTTCACGAAATTTTAATTTTGTTCGGGGTGTCCGACTCTCGTTCGTGTGAAGGGTCGGCTGAATAAAAACATTCAGACTAACCAAAAAGGGTTAAATAAAATATTTACATCGTATAAATATTAAGCCGAATCAAACGAACACGTTCGGCTATTGCGCTGGTCTAAAGAGATATGGATTGGTCGGACAGCTGAATCGCAATTTGACTGAATCCCAATGTACAAGTTTAATGTTAAATACACATATACACATGCGTGTACGTGCACGTCCTTAGATTGACAGGTGACAAAATACACACACTGGAACGCCACTCACATCACTCAAAGTCTTCACCTATCACACACAGACAGCACACTTTAATTTACAAAGACACACCTGATCATAGGCAATGCACTCCCATCACACACAGACAGCACACTTTCATTTACAAAGACACACCTGATCATAGGCAATGCACTCCCATCACACACAGACAGCACACTTTCATTTACAAAGACACACCTGATCATAGGCAATGCACACCCATCACACACAGACAGCACACTTTCATTTACAGAGAAACACCTGATCATAGGCAATGCACTTCCATCACACACAGACAGCACACTTTCATTTACAGAGAAACACCTGATCATAGGCAATGCACTGTTTTCACACACAGACAGCACACTTTCATTTACAGAGACACACCTGATCATCACAATGCACTCCCATAACACACAGACAGCACACTTTAATTTACAAAGACACACCTGATCATAGGCAATGCACTCCCATCACACACAGACAGCCCTCTCCCATCCCATAACACACAGACAGCACAGAGCACACAGACAGCCCTCTCCCATTGCACACACAGGCCACACGTCACACAAACACGGCTAGTCACGGAAGTGTGAATTCAAAGTAAATTTCAAATTTAAATTAAAATAGGAACTGGAAAAATTCTCTAAGTTTATTACACTTCCAGCTTAAAATTCACTTGAATTACTTTTGTGAATAACCCCATGTTCTCTCTATCACAAACATCCCTCTCATTTTCTCCGTACAGTCAGTCCTTCTGGCTGCTCCTTTACACAGATTTATACAACCATTAACACGTAACCACTAGACCCCCGTGTGCATGGTGAGATCGACATTGTATATCGAAGTGTATGTGTAAAATATTATATTTTAAAACCCACGCACTCCAAATGAGATTTTATTAAAGCAATTACTGCCGTCACTGTGCATCAACGATAACTTGCAATACTTGGCAGTGGATTGTAAAGTAGTTGAATAAATTGCCCTTTGGGTAGAAGGCAGTGTTACATCAATACGTATGGAGAAACAGAACAGATCACCAGAGCAGTACCCTAAGGATCTTTTTTGTGGCTCGTCCCATTTAATATGTTCCTTAGTTCAGTCAATGATCTAAAAGGGAAGGTATGCACACAGTCCCCAGGTAAGGAGAACGTGAGTTCTGACTTTTCCAAAGGTGCTACAAAGTGAGTCGCTCTCAGGTAAGTAATAGGACAGAGCTGGGGGTTACAATCTGCTATCTAAAATCTCACATATATTGTCAGGGGAAAGGGTTGTATTATACGGAGAGACACAAGACAGGAGAGGGACAGTGGAGTTTAGTTTTGGGTGCCCTGGCTACAATCAGGCAATTCTAGTCATTTTTACATAAAAATTCCGAGATAATTAATTTATTTTTGTGAGAAAAAATTACCAGAAAATTCAGGTGTCAAACGGACAATGTTTCAGCCCTCCTAGGGTCTTCCTTATTACCACCAGCAATAACTGGGAGGTTGTTTACTACACAGTAAATGGTGGTGAACTAAAACAAGTTGCACTCTTTAGACAAATAGAGTTTAGGTAGTAAAATATTAGCAAATTGTATATTTAGGCCTAAATTTCGCAATTCAATTTTCGATTCCACTTAGATTTGCTTGTTTGCGTTCTAAATGAATTAGTTTGAATTTAATTTTAATTCTCCTATTGGATTTAGTTTTGTGTCTTTATTTCAAGATAGGTCCATGAGTTTTCCAAAATGTTCGGAATATATCTGTACATCTATCCTTTAAATCTTGTAAGCTCATTTGAACAGAATCTCCACCTATTTCAATCCAGTTCCTACTGTTTAGCGTTTTTGTAGTGTTCTTTAAATGCCACAAAACTCAGTATTCATCATCAAATCATGTGTTATTCTAACACATTTATATTTTCTAAAAATATTTATTTGAAATTAAATTTTCTTTAACATATATTTTAAGAATTTGGTGATTGCTAATAATTTTATTTTTTTTACAGAAAAATAAAAATCTCTGAGAAATGTAGGTTATTAATGATTTATATATAATTTTATTTTATTTTTTTTGCTAATATAATCGTATTAAGCAAATAAATAAAAATGTAAAATGTTGTTCTAAACATTTTTTTTCCCCATAAAAGTTACTGGACATTATATTTAAACACACACACCTATGAGAGTAACTAATAGGAACATGATGACATTAATATATCATGTTAGTCCTCGGGGCAAACATTGTGCTATTTTATATCTGTTGGTAGAATCAGGAATGTCACATATCCCGAAGGCCAACTAGGAGTATCAAACCAGTGTTATGCTTTGGTCGGAGTTTATACAGTTACTACGGTGACAATGCTTTTTGTGGTTGTTAACCTGTTGCTATAAGAGGCAGAATTATTATTTATAAAAATAAATATCACAATTAAAAACGGAAATAAAAAAAATGAGAGGGGATTAAAAAAAAGCACACACTCTTCCGTATTATATTATGCAGCTAACTACTACGTTTTTGTCTCTCAATCTCTTTTAATTCTTGCAAAAAAAAAAAATATATATACATTTAAAAAATAAATGTAAAATAAAATTACATTTGTTTTATTGTACTGGTCTGTCGTGCCTGTCTTTATTTTACAATAGGAAATCTGATAATTTTAATTATATTTCTCGAATTTTTAAAGTTTTTTTTCTCCGAAATCTAGTGGTAGATTACTAATGGAAACAAAAAAAAAATGTTTGCTATGCGAAACTTTTCATCATGATCCAAACATTTAAAAAATATACTAAAACATATGGTTAAAAAAAAAAAAATACGTTTACCAACTGTCAATGTAAAAAAAAAAAAAAAAAAATAAACAATGTATAAACAAAATAAACTCTGGTGAACAAAGAGATTTGGATAAGTTGCATGTCTCTAAAAGAATCTGTAGATATCGCTAGGTAGAAGTACACAAGTTAATGTGCTTGCGTATCCAGCTGATATTGAGAAAAGTGGTTCTGGTTTAAAAAAGTTTAAAAAACATACAAACAGAAGAATATGTGTGTGTGGGTATGTGTTTTTTTAAGGTTTATAAACTGTAAGTCTTAATTTCCAATAATGACTTTGTTCAAACTTCAGTACCTGTTACATTTTACTACTCAACTGTTCCCAGAGTGATTCACAACAAACACTAGCCCTGTGTGGATACCGATATTCTTCATTGTTCCATTCGCACCAGTTAACAGAGAGTTCTGTTCCGTCTTCAAACCTGCACTTAGAACCTGCATGATAAAAACAAAAGAAAATACAGTGATTGTTAGAACAATGTGATCTAATTTAATATTTTTTTGGTTACATTTTCCAAATGATCACAATCTGTTAAGAAAAACTCTCCAAATGATTTATCTTTGGACGTCGGCATTAAAAACTTCGAGGATTTTTTTTGACCATAAATTCCTTGATAAGCTTTTTCTAACAGATTGTGATCATTTGAAAAGCTTAGCCGAAAATACTAAATCGAGGCCTAAGTTCGAACATTATAAGAAATTAAACTTCACGATGAATTTTTTAAATTATGTATCTGATTATTATTTTTTTGTGAAAATTTAATTTTTTATTTTTTTTAAATCTGGTTGAGCAGCCAAATTGGAGCAATACTCCACTGTTATCTCACCAACTGCTACCAATGGCCAGTTTCACATAGGCAAGTTAGGTTGAGTGGCAGTTGGTCATGATTTATTTTGTAAGAAATGAAAAAAGGGGAAAATTTGATGACAGTTGTCCTTTAGCTGTAGCTTTGACCCTCTTTTGTCAGTGGTAAAGACGACACATCTTGAATCCACTCTTCATGATACGGCAATATTCTACAACTCCTGGAGTGAACTCACACTTAAATGGTGAGGAATTCTGTGAACATCATTTTGTGGAAAGCAGATTTGTAAAAATCTACGTCATCCATTTTAGGAGGCCATCTTGGAGAAGAGGGAAGGGATCTCCATATAAGTATATATTTTAATCTTAATATTAGCTGGCTATTTTTGCCAAGACAATGTTTTGAGTATTTGTATGCTCACCCAAAAGGTGAACTTGTAGGTCACGTGATGTGTTAATATTTGGCGCACTCTGAAGCAAGTTAGACCAGTTATTGCTTATTCAACATGGAACCTTGTCCAGCTTCCAAATTCTTCCCTTGCAAAATCTAGTTCTTTCTGTGAGACAGAACGGAAGATCATGGGGCTTCATTCTATGGACAGAGAGAAGTTTAAAGAAAAATTACTATTCATGTACCAATGCTAAACTTTAATGGTTGAGCTACTATTTAATTACCTGCATGTTTTTGTCCCTGGATGTGTCAATGATACCATACCCACATACCAAAAAAAGAGAAAAACTAAAATTTACTGAGAGCCAGTGTCTATAGGAAATTTCAGTTTGTCTAGGTGAGTATTGAGTATGCGCTATGACATAGCTGGATAGGTGCATGTCACACGGTTAGCAGAGATTAAGTAATATTAAACATTTTAATATGTTTAAGTTAAAGCCATCCTAAATATACAATTCACCCACTTGAAGCAGAGTTATACCTAGCGGTCTCATAACTTTGTTGTAAGATATCGGGCAGGATTGCTATATGACTCCCAAATTCAAAACTTCCAAAACACATTTGGTCAAATATTTTTTATATTTTCTTCTTACCTAGTCTAAATTTTTTCTTTTGCCTTTTCATGGCCAGTGGACATTTTGTCAAGCTTAGAGAACGATTACAAAATTACAAAAACAAAATGCAAAATAATTTAACTCCAGTGTTCCGAGGAGTTCCGAGGAGTTAATAATTAATGACGTTTCAATAAAATACTTTGAGGTGAAGTCGTTTTAAACAGTGTGTTTCTTATTTCAAATTAGTTTTCAAATATTGAAATTTAGCATCTATTGAACAAACAAAAGACGTAGAAGTCCCTTCTTAGTGAACGAATTGCAGTCGTTACTTGAATACTGTACGCAGAGGTGTTTGGATACCTGTTAATCTACTGAAATACCTGAAAGATTCAGCTTGACAGCCCAGTTTCAAAAAACAATAGGATAGAAAAAGCAAGTTTTACGGCACTGTCATTTTCTTCTGAGACAAGCAGTAAGATAAACAAAACATTGCATTTCTTCATTGATATGTTAATTGGGCATCCTTTGAGGTTCCCAATCATTAACATGATAATATCCAAAAAGTCTTTTATGGTATTTATCTGTTGATACTTGTCTTAGCTAAAATGACTTGTAAAAAAAGCAACCAGCTCCGCGTGACCACAAGGACGAAGCATTGTCGTTTGACGGACAGCCCAGGTATACTGGGGATAATTGGACGAAGGGTCAACTTAATGTCTGTTTCTAAGAGTCTGCATCTAGTTTGGGGACAGGCCGTAAAACAATGAGCTTTGGTTTTTATGGCTTGCCATTACTATAACAAAGATTTACAAAGTATCTTAAACAGGTCTGAAAGGCCAGATTGTCTGCATATCAATAACACCTGTTTTGCAATACGAGACGAGGCTTCACAATCAATGGACTAGGAATTGGGGAGAATTGAAAACGGATTTACAATTTTTGTGCCCAAATAACCAAGTTAGGAAAATCACTCAACTCTGAATTGCAGTACGTTGAAAACGGGATTGTATAATTTAAACTAAATCAGCTAAGATGTGACATTAGTCAAGTTGGAGAACTTTGAAATGTGGGCCTTGATTTATTTTTGATAATTTGGTATAAGCTTTTCAAGTGATCACAATCTGTTTGAAAAGCATGTCAAATGAATTATCTACAAAAATGCATATAGATCATTAAGTGACTTTTTAAAATAAATAATTTGAAACATTTCACTAACAGAGTGTGACCATTTGAAAACCTATCCAAAAATATTATTATAAATCGGGGCCTCTGAGTTCAGTCCACAGTTTAGTGGGAAAAAAAAAGTTATGAAATTGTGTCAGCCGTGGTATTTGACTGATTTGCCACTTTCAATTTAGTATTTTTAGAATATTCATTTTTTTATAACTTTATTTGAGAACAACATATACCAGAGCAGTGTACGTAGATGTGTCCCCAAATTGCCCCCCTCCTACTCACCTTTTGGGTCTTAATGGTAACGTTTGCATGAGTTTTTGAAAATATCTAAAAACAAGTATTTTTTTCAAAATTAGTATTAAGTGTAAGTAACATTTAGATGGTAATTCTCTCTGACACAATATGCTGCATGATTGGATTCGATTAAAGGGACACTGTAGTCACTATAACCACTTTGTCTCTTTGAATTGATTATAGTGCCTGGAGTGGCCTGGCACTGTCCCTCCATTTAGTGTTGCACCATGTTTTTGCAGTATGCCACAAAAGAAGAGTCCCTGGCCACCCACAGTCCGGCCCCTTCTGTATGTGTAGCTAAGGCAGAGATTACACACTTCCTTGTTGTCATACCCATTCATACCATCTGTTGGAGCTCTGACAGGTTAAAAGCAGTCAGCTGACACTCTCAGCCAATCACAGCTGCCCATTGCCTCTCAGGGTAATACTTCCTTATTAGCCAAAGCAGCACAGAGGGGATAGACTGCCGTGGACTCTTGTTTAGCATTAAAACATTACAACATTAAAAACTGTTTAATGCTGAAAGAAATGATGGTACCAGGGGACTCCAGACACTATAACCAGTTTAATGAGATGAAGCAGATACAGTGCCTACGGTGTCCCTTTAAGTTAATGTACAATATACAGACCAGTCTTGTCTCTGTAAAATGAATTTACACTATACTCCCGGACCAAAAGTACACAAACATTCACACATAGTATCACGGAGAGGAGATTATGTCAATGGCAGATAGAAGGTTTCTTTATGGTAAGAACATATACTGATGTGGAATATTCTGCATAAAAAGTTGTTTTTTTCAAATTCTGTACAGATTTGAAAACAATGTCTGAATGGTTTCTGTTTTTAAAAAAACAAAATTTAAGTATATAATAATTGATGTTGGGCAACAGTTTGCAGATCCAAGGAGACAATCGGACTGCCGGTTTGCAGTAAAAAAAAAGATTCTTTCTTTTCAATTTGTGGAAAATCTGGGAATCAATTCAATTTGGATTTGTCACCTGCTTTTGGTGGATCAATAGCAGTAATACGAATAAGTAAATGGGTAAACGTTTCGTAATATTACTTTGTAGCGTTTTAATTTTATTAAACATTGTTTTTAACCCCAACATCATGCTTGTACATCAAACTCTGTATACGAAGTTTATTGCTTTTTGTGCAGTATTCTTGTGTCTATCAGGTATCAAAACATATATATATATTGGGATAATATGCGTATTATATTGTTCTAAGACAATCACATCTTTGTGTAGAAGTAGAAGATATTTATTTGGTTATAAAAATGGTTTATATATAAAAATGTCAAGAATAATGCTACGGTTGTAAGTTTACCAAAATAAGTAGTTGGTATATACAATATAAGTAGTATAGGAAGTTGCAGTAAGGAACAAATTTTGAATAAAATACTAAAAATAACCAATTAGAGCATTCCATTGGTTTCCACA